CCCCCCGCAGGTGGCCCAGATCTCGGGGCTGGGGCTGGTCCTGGGCCGCTCCTACGTCGTGCGCTGGATCCTGGGGACCCCCCCCCGGGAGAAATTCGACTGCGACCCCAACCCCGGCGCGTCCCAGGAGAAGTGTGAGCAGCTCGGCTGCCACTGGAGCGTAAGGAAACCGGGGAAAATGGGGAAAAAACAGTCAAAAACTGGAACTTCTTCTTTTTTTTAATTATTTTTAATTATTTTTATATTATTATTATCATTTTATATCATTTTATATTATTTTTATTATTATTATCTCATTATTATTTTTATTATTGCTGTTGTTACGTTATTATTGTTAATTTTATTTATTTTTATTATTATTTTTATTATTATTATCTCATTATCATTTTTATTATTGCTGCTGTTACATTACTATTGCCAATTTTATTTATTTTTATTTCTATTTTCATTTTCATTTTCATTTCTATTTCTATTTTCATTCTCATTCTTATTTTTCACCCAAAAGAAACCGTCTCCCATTTACCCTCGGGTGGGAAGAGTCAAAAATAGAAGTAGTTATGAAAAACACCATCATTTTTAACCCCCCCGGTCTCTTCAAATCAAGGGAAAAATCGAGGGAAAAGCTGGTATTTTGGGAAAGCCGGTAGCAAATAATCCTCTTTTATTTATAAAATAAATTGGTTTGTCTTGTTTATTATTATTTATGTATCTATTTTTTATAATTTTTAATAATTTATAAATATATTTATATATACACTGTATAATTTATAGATTTGTTATCTCCTTTAAAAAAAAAAGGAAATTTCGAATTTTCACCGCTAAATAATAATAATAATGAATTCTATTTAAGAACAGTCTAGAGGTCGAGTGAGTTCGGCCGCTTCTTTATGGTTTCAAAACAGCATGAAATTTTGGATAAAATTCCCAAAATTCCACAAGGACTTGTTACCCAGTTAAAAAAAAAAAGATTTTTACCCAGATCTTCTTTCTCTCTTTTTTCCCCCCATTTTTTTCCAGATCTTTTCAAGAATCTTTTCCCCCAGTTTTTTTCCCAGATTGGATTTTTTTCTCAGCTCTTTTTTCCCTGATCTTTTCCCTGTTGGTTTGGGTTTTTTTCCACATTTTTTTTTTTTCCTAGAGCTTTTTCCCAGGTTTTTTTTCCCAGATTTG